TTACAAGCAAACAACAAAAAGACTCGAAGACGGACAATACCAGGTCAGGTTACCAATGACAGAAAATTTTGAAGAGATACTAGGAGAGTCTAAACACATAGCAATAGCACAATTTCGTAACATCGAAAAGAAACTAGCAAAGGATCCTAATTTGGCAACAAGTTACAAACAATTCATGCAGGAATATCTAGACTTAGGTCATATGACACCTTGTATATATAACGAAAGGGCTTCCCCGGAATGTTATCTCCCGCAACACGGCGTGCAGCGTGCCGACGCGAGCAAATTCCTACGCGTTGTTTACAGTGGCTCAGCCAAGACGTCGTCTGGGTTCAGTCTTAATGATTTAATGTACAAAGGTCCGAATTTACAAAAAGACTTGCAATCACTAATTTTATCATGGAGACAATATAAAGTCGGCTTCGTCGCCGACATAGAAAAAATGTTTCGGAAAATCTTGATAGATAAAACCGATCAAAATCTTCAAAAAATTGTATGGAGGAATTCACCTGAGGAACCTATCAGATCCTATCACCTTACGACCGTAAGTTATGGGACCAGAGCAGCCCCGTTCCTGGCTATGATGACGCTTAAGCAGTTAGCAGCCGATGAACGCGAACGTTTTCCGAAAGCAGCGAAAATTCTAGAAAATCAATTCTATATGGATGATCTGGTAAGCGGAGCACATTCTATAGAACCGATCATCAAATTGTCAGCATTACCTCTCACCGACATGGCATCTGAAAACGAGCAAGAACAAAACAGGAATAAAGCATCAAGCAAGCAAACGAATGAATCATGTAAAGGTCAATCATCGGCCGGAAAGAAGACACGATCATGCAGACAAGTTAAGAAGAAATTCGACTTTATATCAATGGCGATAGGGCTTCTTTCGTTCATGAGCATTATGCCTACTTCTAGATCGGAGTATAATATTTCTGAGATGAGCGCCAGCCAATCGTTGTATTTCGACCCCATAACAAAGATGCAACTTATCAGAGACAAATGGACCTTAGTTGTGTACCACGATATGGCCCCGTACTGGCAAGGTGAACTAGCATACAAAAAATTATCAAATCACTTTGACAAACTATGTACTAACATCGAGAATAATCAACAATGCCATATGATTTTACTACAAATGAATCACGACTACTCAGAATTACAATACAACAATCAACTTTTACTGACACAGCATTTTACCGAGCACTCCAGACAGCGTCGCGGTCTTATCAACGGCGTAGGCTACCTTGCGAACACATTGTTTGGTGTGCTAGATCAGCATTTTGCAGATAAATACTCTGAGGACATTGAACTGATTAAAAATAATCAACAACACTTGGTAAATCTATGGCGTAACCAAACTTCTATAGTAGAGTCAGAATTTAACTTGTTAAAAAGAACAGAAGCATCTATGGAAAGGCAGTATAACATTATAAGTAGTCGGTTAGACTCTCTCGATAAGGCAACAAACGATTTTAATAAACAAATACAGAGCATGTCGGCGTCGGCGGCGTCTGGTGCTCTCACCAGGCGCGCAACGCAGTGATAATAGTGAAAAAAAAAATCAGTGGTTCACAATGAAAGTGAAATGTGTTAGTGCGCGAAAGGCATTCTAGCATAAGGCATGTAGCATAAGCACTAATTTTTTTTTTCTCTCATTATTATGTATAATTTTAAGCATTTTGTTTTTTTTTCTCCCGCCCGGGAGCATGTTCGGAAAGTAACCGAACACCTTGTAAAATAGCATAAGTAGTAAGTACGTATAGTTAGATCGCCGCCTGCGCGCGACGCTTTTCTATGTACATCAGAGTGTCATCAACCATCTCCGCGATCACTCATTAAATTAGTTTTTAAGAGCAAAGCAATCTTTTATTTAAATATCATTAAAGTGTTTTGGCAGCAGCCCGAACAATATTTGTGAAAAAACTGCGCTTATCAACCTTCCTAAGTGCTTCAATACAATTGAAGTTAACTATCCGTATGTATTATTAGTATCATTACCACTTTCATACGATATTAAAATGCTTAGTAATAAAAGAGAACGCTGTATTAATTGGGAGAAAGAAGAAAAGGTATGTAGAATTGTGAATGTTGAGTAAAACTGAATCATGAACGGTTATTCATTGCTTTTGTTTATTGCTTTTGTTACAGCAACTTTTTAGAAATATTCTACGACCCTATATATCAATAATTGAGAACAAAGAAGGAGAAAATGAAGGCTTGGAGCGATATAACAGAGAAGTAAACATTTTAATAAGTACCTGCATCTCGAAAAAATTACCATATTGATGATTTATATTGAAATTACCATGATCAGATTTAATCTAGCAAATATAAGGACAAGAGACAAAAAACAATTGATGAATCAGTGGAAGTGCACTAAATTGAATACAAAAAAAAGAGTTGTCATCTTATCGCCGTGAAACATCAAAAACTGGAGGTGGACCAAAGACACCATCACCTTCTCCAGACACAATGGACGTTGCAAAGATGATACCGCAACAGTTTGAAGTCGATTTCAATGAATTTGATTGTGATGGTGTCGAGGTAGGAATGTTAATTATAAATATAATATGATGTATGGTGATGTTCAAGGTTTAACCTCTCAAGCATAAGCATATGCTCACAACAGTACTTCATTCCCCTACAGGGTAGTCAGAGATATTCTCATACCTCAGAACATCCATGTTGCACTTGAAGTACCGAAACTCTGTCCAGCCAGAAGTGAGCCCATTCCCACTTATAATGGACAGTGGGTATAATACACCTTAACACCTGAGTGCAAACCACTCAACATGATACTTATATTAATAGATGTTATTTAAATATTTCAGGATATTACAAATAAAATCATTTTGGAAACAATTGATATCGTAATAAATCAGTTTTGACATAACTTGAATACTAGAAAAGCCAGACAAAGGTGTGCACAACAGTGACAACATAACCTAACAATTTCATTATTTTGTAGGATTATAATCCAAAGGTTAAAGAAAATCACGTCGAACTGAACAACAAGAATCCCCAAACAACACCAAAGAAACCTACAAGGAAGACACCGGTATTATATTTAAATAATCTCTATATCTAAATAGAATAAAACAAAGTTGCTATCCAGGTCTATAGCATGTGCAATTAGATTTTCTAAACTACACAACGGATTTTGATCTGACTAATTTAATATAGACTGTTCTTCCAGGAAGGATTTGTATTATATGAATTATCATTTTTTTAAGTTTTGCATGGACAGAGCTTAAATTAATATTCTCTTATTTGTTGCAGAAAGAGAAAAAATTACAAACCGAAATTCTGATGAAGACATTAGAGTCACTTAAAATAAATAGTATAATGAAATAAAAATGTTTTAAAGAAAAATAGTGTTTTATTTGTTTAAATAACTTAATTGTTAAAACAACCTAAATTAAGAACTATCAAACTTAAAAGTTTTCATCAATAAAAATGGCTCTCACTGCTTCTATTCTGAGATGAGAGTACTATTGGTAGTGAGGGCAGGGTCTCTTCATCATCATCAGAGATAGGTTCCTCTTTTAAATCAATGGCTATATTGTGCAATACTGCCAAAGCTACAATATACATCTTAGTGTTTGGTAGAGATGTTTTAAATCCTGACAATAAACACCTAAATCTGTTTTTCCAAACACCAAAACATCTCTTAGTATAACTTCTTACGCGCGTACATAAGTACACGCACCCTTTTTTTTTTAAATGTAATAGGAGGCAAACAGGCAGGAGGCTCACCTGATATTAAGTGATACCGCCGCCCATGGATACTTACATTGCCGGACGACTCGCAAGTGCGTTGCCGGCCTTTCAAGAATTGGTACGCTCTTTTCTTGAAGGACCCTAAGACCCGAACCAGTTCGGGTTCGGAAGCACCTCAGTGGGCAGCTGGTTTTACACAACGCTGTCAAACTGACACTCTTAATGTCTTCTACCACCTGTCACCTGTGTGTTCAATAATCAACAATGTCATTTATAGGACGCGTCTCAAATTGAATCCTCCGTCTCACATTTGACCCGTTTCGTCAAAGTTTTCCCTATAAACCTTCCCGACGTCGTTTGTTTGCCCTTCATTGGTTCGTTATTTCGTCGAATCGTTAACCCACGTACTTAGCTATTGTTGCGAAATTGTTTCATCGGTAACAAATGTCTACGCGAAACATGGCGTTGAAACAGCGACGGATCTATTGAATTATTCTTAGTAGCCACGCAGTTTATTCTTTTCAGAATTGTCTTAAAAGGGACTAGAAGTTGGTGGACAGTCCTATATAAAACTACATTTATTAGCTCTGAAATACAAAGCAAACATCATAGTGAGAGAGAGAGAGCAGTGTTGGCCTAGTGGCTTCAGCGAGCGTCTCTCATACCTGAGGTCGTAGGTTCGATCCCCGGCTGTGCACCAATGGACTTTATTTCTGTGCGCATTTAACATTTGCTCGAACGGTGAAGGAAAACATCGTGAGGAAACCGACATGTCTTAGACCCAAAAAGTCGACGGCGTGTTTCAGGTACTGGAGGCTGATCACCTACTTGCCTATGTGATTTAAAAATCATCTTAAAACAGATTCAGAAATCTGAGGCCAAGAACTAAAAGGTTGTAGCGCCACTGATTTATTTTTTTAAACATCATAGTAGCTGTTGATTAGCGTGCGGGTGTAAATGCAATATTTAAAACGAGAACACATTTGTACGTCCGTTGTATGTTCCCTTAAACCATCAGATCAGCTCCATATCCTTGGTCTTTACCATGGCTCCATTTTTCTGTATCATTTTTTACTGACGTCGTACGTCCAAGTGTCCAAACTATAATGATTGGTTTACAAATTGAGACGCGTTTCGTAGGATCAAGAAACTGAAATATCTTTCTTTTTATTTTATATGTCACATGGAAAAACCTTTGAAAACTAACAATGTACTTTGTTTCAGACGGCAGCAGTGCCTGTGTTTCATCAGAGTGATACGAAGAATGAGCCTCGATGTCTAAGCGAGGGCAAAAGTCTCGTTACATCCGGGTGGTACTGAAGGCGGGATTGTGGAAGCGTGTGCCCATGAAATTGTTTAAGTGGAGTAGAAAGATGTCTTTGACAAGACAATATGACCTCGTCGACAATGACGAGTACGACACCAAGATGTCTCTGCACCCAGAAGAGGCGTTCGAGTATGGCATCGCGTTTCATGCTAAGGTACGTTCATGTTGACTATTTTCCGATTGTGTTATCGAAGATTTCATTGTTGCATTTGCCAGGTGTAACTACACAGTGCAGCACAGTGCTGCACAGCGTACGGCACAAATTTTTGTTTTGGTCGACTCACTCAAGCGAACAATAACAATTGTGCGCGAATATTTTTGCAAAGTTCTCGCACAATGCACTTGTTGAGTGCGCTCTTACGGTATAAGTATTTGCAAAGTGTGTCGATGACAAAAAAGACACACATCCCGACAAAAAGACTCGTAGGAGGCCCTGACACGTTCTAACGGATCCGGACGACCAATAATAATAAAAATCATAATCAGATTAGGGTAAAAAACCGCCTTCACCGGGGAAGGCGAGGACCTTTACTGCGTACTTCGCTCACTCCAGTGAGCTTTCGTCCTGCCCTTCAGGCAATTGACCACCCCGCGACGGCCCAAGCTGAGGTTCGAGTCTCACAGGAGACGCCCTTGCGCTAGTCGCGGGAATAACGCCCATTCAGGCCGAGCTAAGCTGGAAAGGCCCTTAAGGCCAACAGCGAGATTCTATTTTTAAAAAAAAACGCGCACATACTCGTTGTTCGAACTCAGTGCTTGCTTCAGCTATCAAAGCAAACACATTTAACTTTGATCGCACTATGCCAAGTAATTTTTTCAAGAATATAATACAAAGAACAACGTTTTCCTGCCCGTCCATATTAGCAACTGTCGGCAGAAAATCTTCTCAGTGACTTGTTCAAGATTGTGTGTGAACAAGTGTGCAACACTGTGCGCGCACAAAAGTTACGCATAGCATTGCTGGTGGAGAGACAAGCCAAACGCGATACGCGCTTTGTATGTTCTGCTATTCTTTTGCACAAAATGCTTGTAAACAAATGTGCCGCACGCTATTTTGGTGGAACGTACCTGTACCGTTAAAAAAAATTCAAAGTAGGCTTTGCCCAAAATGGTTGTAAGATTTCACTGTCAGATACCCTTTTATTACGAAAGTGTTCCTCCAGCTTTGATTTGATTTTAGAATTTTTTTTAATTGATTCACTAATATTCAGAAAAAAATATGTAACGTTTACTTTCTCTTACCTCTATGTTTGCACACGAGTTTTCTACCCTCTCACAATAGGACCATCCTTTTTTTGCGGTAGTCGATAACGTCAATATATTAGAATAAATTTAGACCCTTTAGACTTTTAGAGTTTAAGATTAGTTCCATGAAGTGACGTGCATATGCAATTTATCCAGTTTTTTGATTCTTAGCCTTACCGGTCATCACAATGGTATAGTTTGACCAAGCGGTTTAAGTAAGAAAATAAGATTTTCCCATTAAATTCCTTTGAGTATCTCTTGTTTGATAGAGCCCCGGCCTTGTCGTTGGTGGATCAACTGGTATTTACCGCGCGGTATCTGAATGTCTACTAGATCCTTTAGAATATGGAGTTTTAAGTTTTGTTAAGGTGACTAAAACGATCTCCTTAATTGTAAGGCTATTACTTTTAGTTTAAAAATAAACCTTGTTTACACTTGTCACAATTTATGATTCACTGCTTCTTTCACTCGGATTGTGTTGGACGCGTTATTTTACCTTTTTGCCAATTATATTTGTTAACTAACAATACGTATGACGTATGAATGTACGCAGGACGATGATACGTAACAGTAGTTACGTCCTCAGTTTTATAATTTTGTAGTGTGTGTTTTGTTCGTTTTATAACTATTGTAAGGCAAGGTATCAGTCTAAAATTTCTTATTGTTCCCAAACTAATATAATTTCTTCATATCCTTATGACTGACAATTTTGTGTCTTTCTTCTTGTTAAAGATATATCGAAACGAGGTACTCAGGAGTTATTCTTTTAGTATGAAATTGTGTATCGACAGCCGTTCCGTTCTTTGTGGCACAGGTTCTATTTTAAATGAAAGTGTTGTGTACACTTACAATGTATTTAAACAAGTTGAAAAAAAAGTGTGATCCATCATATATAATGGTTTACTATCATTCGATCGACCCAATGTAATCCTGCGAATCATTTTTTTCACACTATTTCTACTACTTCAGCTAGAAGAAGTGACCAAGCTATTTTTATTTTTATGAAGACTTAAAAAGCCTGTTTTAAATTAAAACTTAACATTTAGGCTGTCCTTTAATGTAATTTATTAATGTTGACCGTGTTTTTGATGTTTAGAATTATTAGTTGTTATAATTAATCATATTACATAATATATAACAATTGCGGACAAAACTTCTGTCCAGTTTTCTTATATAAAAATATTTAAAACGGCATAATTGCGTTCCCAACAATAAATGGGATCCCAACTCCGCAATCATGTTCATAAATCCTATACGACTACAACTATATTTATTAGATGTCGATAAGGCACGTTGTATCTTTCAATACAATTCCTAATCACGTCCTCGGGGAATGAGATTTTATTTTGATTCGAACGAAGGCATTAAAATATCTATCGGAATTTAGTTTTAGCTCCTTTGACATAGCTTCCCTGCCATCACGTTGCACATACTTCCACAGTCGCAAGATTCCAACGAAACCACTTAGATCAGAAGTTTGTTAATTTTTGGCATATTAAGCTGCAGTGGTCTTGTGTAACCAAGTTTTTTAAAATTAAAAATTTATATATGTAAACCTGCTTTATTATGAATAATACCGGCATTTAATATAACAGCGTCATTAATTTACGATAAATATTTATTAACACTTTATGGATAGTAGGTACATACACAATCAGATAACATAAATCATTAAGGAGGCCACAGGCGGCCTTATACAAGCGATCTCTTTCAGGCAACCCAAGGCAGGAAAAAGAAAAAAGAAATACTGAGAGTATAAGGTGCATAACTAATTAATACAAATTATATTAGGTGCTTACATATGAAATTGGCGTTTTGTATGGGAGGAACAAAAAGTCGAATATTTTTAAATATAATATATTTAATTAATCAAAGTATGAACCATTGTTTTGTATGCACTTTTGCCATCTCATAGGTAGTTCATTGATCCCTTTACTAAAAAAACCAGTCGGACGGGAATCAATAAAATCTGTGAAGGCGATTTGGACTGCCCCATCAGAGTTAAATTTTTTCCCTTGCAAGAAGTTGTCCAAATTTCGAAAAAAATGGTAATCTGTTGGAGCAAGGTCCGGGGAGTACGGAGGATGTCTTAGACATTCCAATTGAAGCTCTTCTAATTTGGTAGCCGTCTGTTGTGCAGTGTGTGGTCTAGCGTTGTCGTGAAGTAGCAGTGGCGTGGAGAGATTGACCAGCCTAGGTTGTTTAGCCGCTAGCTTTTCCATCATGGTTTGCAATTGCTGACAATAGACATCAGCCGTAATAGTCTGGTCAGATTTGAGAAAACTGCAATGAACAATACCGGCACTAGTCCACCAAACGCTTACAAGTGACTTTTTTGGGGTTAATTTTCGCTTGGGGCAGGATTTGGCTGGCTGGCCAGGATCCAACTATTGCGCTGAGCGCTTTCGATTATCGTAAAGAATCCATTTTTCATCACAGGTAATGATTCGGTTATACCTTCATTATTATGCCGGTTCAGTAATGTAACGCAGCAGTCGACGCGCGTTTGCCGGTTTGCTTCAGTCAATTCGTTAGGTACCCATCTTTCAAGCTTTTTAATCTTCATAATTTAAACAGTTTTATCACTAACACCGCAGCCTGCAGCTAACTCGGACGTGGTTTGCGATGGATCCGCTTCCACGATAGCCTTCAATACTTCATTATCAACTTGGGTCTCAGGACGTCCACGGGGCTGGTTCTGCAGGTCGAAATTTCCAGAACGAAAACGTTGGAACCAAAAACGAACTGTGTTTTCTATTGCAACATGACCGCCATACACATCATTCACCCTTCGAGTCGTTTCCGCATCACTAGTGCCACGGCGGAACTCGTACTCGTAAATAATGCGATACTTTAAGTTTTCCATTTTGTAAAATGAGTGACGCAAACAGAAAAAAACAGAAGAAAAAAACTAATGAATGTATCGAAGCACAAATACATGAGTAAATAGCTGTACAAATTTGAATTTGGAATTCCTTACCAAAGAGGAGAACATCGTGATTAAAGTGGCCAATACGAAATACGCCAATTTCATATGTAAGGACCTAATATATAAAATTCTCGTGTCACAATGTTCGTTCCCATACTCCTCCGAAATGGCTCGACCGATTCTTATGAAATTTTTTATGCATAGTCAGTAAGTCTGAGAATCGGACCACATCTAAATGCTAAGGGTGGTCCCACCCCTAAATATTTATTTTTTTAGACACAACTTTTTATTTTTTTATGATACAGCATACAAAAATACATATAATCCTTAATTATTCTCACCCCTCTACGATCAACCCCTATTTTTATTATTGAAGAAAGTTTTTTTTATTGAACTAAAAAAAATGTTTCCTAGAAATAATATATGTACATGGCAAAACAACGTTTGCCGGGTCAGCTAGTATATAATTAAAACATTTAAGCTTTAATTACTAATAAAATATAAGTACTTCAAACAATACCGTATTACGTTTCAATTGAATTTTCGTATAACAAAGTCATAATATGATATTAAACTGACCTTCTATGATAAATGGCGAAAATTATTGTAAAATTTATAACTTTTGTAAATACTTTAATATTAAACTAACTGAACTTCTAAAAATGAAAAAAAAAAATTCACTATGGAAATACCGTCTCTATCTTCTTCTATAAGACGCTTGTGCAGTCCCAGTTGCAGTACGCCTGTCCAATCTGGAATACCCATTACTCTATATATATGTCACACAACCGGAGGATGAAATAACTTGTTCCCATCTTCTGGAACTGAGAACATTATTTTATTTTATTTTTACTGTATAGTAAGTAATTAGATGTATCTATTTATTTTTCCCTAATAATAAATAAATAAATAAAGTATCTTAAGAATTACTACAATTTGTAAAAAAAATAAAAAATAATAATATTAATTATTTATGTAAAAACTTTACTATTTATAATACTTGACCTATCTCAGAACTTTCAAAAATGGTAAATTTTTATAAAAATATAAATAAATTAGTTCTTTAAATACCATAATATCATAAAATTAAAATCAGTGATAACTTCTAATAATGGTAAAATTATTTAAAGTAAATTATTTATGTCACTACCTTATTATAATAACAAAGTCACTATAGAATTTCTAAAAATGGTATAAAAAATTAAAATAAATTAGTTCTGTAAAAAATATTATTATAATATTTAATTGGCTTGGAACTTCTAAAAATAATAAATTAATTAAATGTATCTTATTATAATATTCAACTTGCCTAATAGTTTCGAAAAATGGTAAAACATTATAATAAAGTGGTCTGTAAAAATAAAACTTTATTAAAATATTCAACTCACCTAAGAACTTCTAAAAAAATTGTAAATTTTTTATAATAAAAATTAAAATAAATTAGTTCTGTAAGAAACTTATAATATTAAACCGACTTGGAACTTCTAAAAATAATAAATTAATTAAAAGTATCTTCAACTTGCCTAATAATTACAAAAAATGGTAAAACATTTATAATAAAGTAGTCTGTAAAAATAAAACTTTATTAAAATATTCAACTCACCTAAGAATCTACAAGATGGTAATAATATTACAAAAAAAAAAAAGGTGCGTGTACTTATGTACGCGCGTAAGAAGTTATACTTCTTTGTCATTATTAAAAATAGTTTTTGATTGCATGCAAATAATTAATTACAATTAAATAATCAAAGACTGGAAAAGGAGTCATTATAGTCAATAAAGTTCAGTTTACATTTTAAAAATTAAATAAATAAATATTTATTATTATTCTCTCACATTAAGTGTAACATAAATTATATTATTCTATTATTATTAGAACATCTCTAACAAACACTAAGATGTATGTTGTAGCTTTGGCAGTATTGCACCTATCTCTGATGATGATGAAGAGACCCTGCCCTCACTACCAACAGTGCTCTCATCTCAAAATACACTGCGTGGAGCAGCAGTGAGAGTCATTTTTATTGATGAAAACTTTTAAGTTTGATTGTTCTTAATTTAGGTTGTTTTATCAATTAAGTTATTTAAAAAAATAAAACACTATTTATCTTTAAAACATTTTTTTCATTATACTATTTATTTTTAAGTGACTCTAATGCCTTCATCAGAATTTCGGTTTGTAATTTTAAATTAATCATTACTTGGTTGTGCATCTCTGCCATATTCTTAACTCTGCAAAATGATTTTATTTGTAATATCCTGAAATTTATAAATAACATCTATTAATTTAAGTATCATGTTGAGTGGTTCGCACTCAGGTGTTAAGGTGTATTATACCCACTGTCCTTTATAAGTGGGAATGGGCTCACTTCTGGCTGGGCAGAGTTACAGAGAGTACAAGTGCAACATGGATGTTCTGAGGTATTAGAATATCTCTGACTACCCTGTAGGGGAATAAAGTACTGTTGTGAGCATTTGCTTATGCTTGAGAGGTTGAACCTTGAACATCACCATACATCATATTTATAATTAACATTCCTACCTCGACACCATCACAATCAAATTCATTGAAATCTACTTTAAACTGTTACGGTATCATCTCTACCACGTCCATTGTGTCTAGAGAAGGTAATGGTGGCTTTGTTCCACCTCCAGTTTTTGATGTTTCACGGCGATAAGATGACAACTCTTTTTTTGTATTCAATTTAGTGCACTTCCACTGATTCATCAATTGTTTTTTGCCTCTTGTCCTTATATTTGCTAGATTTAATCTGAAAAATTACATGTTTTGATTAAACAATGTGGTAATTTTTTTGAGATGCAGGTACTTATTAAAATGTTTACTTATCTATTATATCGCTCCCAGCCTTCATTTTATCCTTATTAGTATTCGTGCTTAAATTTTTGTTCTCAATTATTGATATATAGGGTCGTAGAATATTTCTACAAAGTTGCTGTAACAAACGCAATAAACAAAAGACCAGAAAAGTTCGCCCCAATGATCATGGCAATAGAATATTCCGGCATAGCCATAAACTCTGATGCCATTAAAACGAAATTGCTTGATATGAGTTCTGAAGCCGGTGACCATGACTCGGAAGTTGCATTATTATCGAAGCATAAAAGTAAGTTTGGTCAAAATTTGAATAGAAAAGGCGCGAAACAAACGTCTAATCATACGTCAAATGTCAAGAAGGTTATAAAATGCTATAAGTGCAAGTAAATTTGCCACTTCAAAAACCAATGTCCTGAAGTTAAAGTAAAGCAAGTAAACGCATTTAGTGCTACATTTTTTAATAGTGAATTTAATAAGGATGATTGGTATATCGACTCAGGAGCTAGTACTCATATGACATCATGCAGAGAAAATTTATTGGAAGTGAGAAAAGTACACGATATGACGGAAATTATTGTTGCAAATAATATGACTGTGCCAGTTGTGTGTGCCGGGAATACACAGATAACTACGCTTGTAAATAATTCTCAGTTTGAAATTAAAGTGAACAACATTTTATACATACTGACGGCGCGGGTGGTTAATATATAAAACTTTATACCTATTAGCTATATTTTTGAAGTGGTTATATAGTGGACTGTATTTTTTTTTCTTATTGATACCTAATATGATTGCTCAATAATGGACAATGGGAAAAAGAAAGAAAGGATGTCGGCACAGTACCTTAAACCTCGTGGCTTCTTCTAGTGGCTTCTTTCCTTTGTTGTACACCAATGAACAATCACTTTCACAAATTATACTTAATCAAGTTAAAGTTAATTGAATTTAAGTATAGTTAAAGTTTATAATAAAAATTAAATGTTTAAAAGAAAAAGGAAGCGTTGCGAGCGTGCGGCGAATAATCAACCATATCGCGGGTCATCAAAATTGTCACTAATTAATTCTTATTAGAGACTCATCGTCGTGCGCGCCACCTATAGCCCGTTCCGGAACTAGTACCGTCATAGGATTGGGACATAAAATAGGTGGGTGATGAGACATGCGTCTAGGAACCATTATTTAAAAATCAAAAATTATTATACAATAAGAATCCGACGCAACCATTCCCCCCGGGTTTGAAGGGTTGCCTTCAAGAAAAACTAGAAAGTAAATGAATAGCGATATGAAAAGCGATCTAAAGAAAAGTTTATTAAAGTAACTAACTTAACTAACGACTTATACAAATGTAAACTAACTAACCTAACTAATGACCTATACAAATGTAACTATTCGCTAGGTAGGGGACAGAGACGTACTACAGGACGTAGATAGGTACCTGACGCCGTGCGAACGCGGACCACACGTATAACACCGTTTGAACCAGGGAAAACTTCCTCCACTATTCCTAACGGCCAGTGGAGCGGCGGTGCATTGTCAACAATAACTATTACAACATCGCCGTTAGAAATTGGCTTAGCTGGCGTGTTCCACTTGTTCCGCATTTGCAATGTATGAAGGTAATCAGACTTCCAGCGCTTCCAGAAGGACTGCACCAGCTTGTCAACTAACTCATGACGCGAAAGCAAATGTAATCTATCTTCTTCGATTTCTCTAGCTGGTAGATACTTTAGCGGTGTTAAGTTTAAAAAGTGTGCGGGTGTTAACGCGAGAGGTTCCGATGGATCATTGGATAGCGTGCGACACAGTGGCCGCGAGTTCATCACTGCCTCGATCTGTGCAAGTACAGTGCTGAACTCCTCGAAAGTTAGAATTTGATCACCTATCACCCGGTATAAATGAGTTTTAAGGCTCTTAATATTGGTCTCCCAATTGCCACCAAAATGACTAGCAGCTGGAGTATTTAATGACCAATCAATGCGAGTTTCAGCTAATACGTGACCAAACTCAGAGTTAAAGTGTTTTGAAACTAAGAAGTCGTGTAACTCCGAAAGCGTGCGCTTTGCGCCTACGTAATTAGTGCCGTTATCTGAGTACACGCGAGCCACGGGACCACGGCGTGATAGAAAACGCTTAAAAGCTCCAAGGAAGCTAGCTGTGCTCAAATCACCTGCAACTTCTATGTGAACAGCGCGGGTGGTTAAGCACACAAAAAGACATACGTATGCCTTGAACGATCGAATTCCGCGTCCACGCGAACTACTCACTTTAAAGGGACCCGCGTAATCAGTGCCAGTATGTACGAAGGGTTTAGCGACTGGTGTAACTCGGCAGGAGCGATGATCGGCCATTTCAGGAAAATTTGGTTTAGCGCGGAGTCGAAAACAGGGTAAACATTTGTGAACCCGGCTTCGAATTAAATTTCGAGCGGACAAAATCCAATATTTTTGACGCAGTATGGACATCAATAGCTCCGGACCTGCATGGCAATTCAATTTGTGATAGTAATCCACTATAAGATTCAAAATATGACCTTTCCGAGGAAGTATGAGTGGGTGCTTACTATCAAATTTTATATCGGCGTTACTCAACCGTCCTCCGACTCTAAGAAGTTTGTTCTGAAGGAATGGCTTGAGGCGCTGAAAAGCAGGGGTACATCGCTTGCCTGTACGTAAGCTAGCGATTTCGTTGAAGAAGTGGGACCGTTGAAGGTCACTCAGTATTAAATTCTCAGCGTTATCTTAATCCGCTGCGATTATAGTACTACGCCGAGGCAATAATTTAACAAAACGACAGATATAAACGACAATGCGTAAAAGCTTTGACCAAGATGAAAAACGATTTGCAAGCGTAATTAAAAAACTTTTCTCAACCTTTTCACAGTCTTCAGCAGTGAAAAGAGTTACATGCTTCTTTACTTCTGGAGGCTGAGACACAGTAGATGGATTAAAATCCGTAACAGGCCAAAAACTTGGATCTGATAGAATCCATTGAGGACCGCAGAACCAAAGCGGATGATCAATGATTTGTGCGGGACTAAGGCCACGAGATAAACAATCAGCGGGGTTTTCATGGCCAGCGATGTGATAAAATGTTTGCGGTGGAAATTCATTCTGAATCTTAGAGACTCTATTAGCAACGAAAGTATCCCAACGATGGGGCGAAGAATGCACCCAACAAAGAGCTACAGTCGAGTCTGAGAATGCGAAAACACGATCTATATTAATGCGATTGTTACAAGCATTAATTACATTAGCAATTAAGTTGCTTAGGACTAATATTGCACAAAGCTCGAGACGTGCTAGCGAAACCACCTTACGAGGTGACACTTTAGATTTAGCGCTTATCAGACTAAATGAGTTTTTGCGAAGACCTTGACTGTCTCTTACATGAAAGTACACAACTCCTCCGTAGGCCCTTTCACTTGCGTCCGCGAAGCCCACAACGGTTACAACATCACCGGACGCGATGCCAACATGTCGTGGAATTTTAATTTTTCCAAGAAGAGGAAGTTCCTCCTTAAAACGGGACCACTGTTGAATGATGTGGTCGGGTGGTATATCATCCCAATCACATTCACACAACCAAAGTTGTTTTATGAGAAGTTTTGCGTATAAGACCACTGGTGCAACAAATCCCATGACGTCCCATATCCTAGCGACACACGACAGAATAGTACGCTTTCAAAACTCAAAACTCAAAACTCAAAATATCTTTATTCAAGTAGGTAACCAAGTACACTTTTGAATCGTCAAGTTAAATTAATCGTAAATTTACATTTACTACCAGTTCGCAAGTCAAGGGCGTAGAGCGGGTAAGAAGAACTGGCAAGAAACTTTCCGCCACTCTTTTTAATCGCCAAGTATTGTCATACAAATTGTTTGAACTGGAGCAATTCAATCCCAAGGATTAGGATCATTTAAGTAGTCCTCAAATTTATAAAAAGCTTTGTTGATTAATTTTCGTTTAACGAGGGCTTTGAATTTATTTAGTGATAATTCTCTAATTTCGCTTGGGAGCTTGTTGTAAAAACGAATACAATTTCCATATAAGGAGTGGTTTATCTTTTGGAGCCTGGTTGGTCGTACACTCAAATTAGTTCTATTTCGCGTATTATACTGGTGAAAGTCACCATTTGTTTTAAAATCGTTTATATTTTTTTGGACATACAACAAGGCTTCAAGAATATATTGACCAGATAGTGTCATAATATTTAATTCCTTAAACTTATTCCGTACCGACTCCCTCGGAGAAACACAACAAATACCCCGAACAGCCCGCTTCTGCAGCACAAATATGGATTGAACCTCTGCAGCAGCACCCCACAGTAAAATGCCGTACGACATAACGCTATGAAAGTAGCTATGGTACACAATTTTAGCCGTGTCCTCATCAGTAAACTGTCGGATTTTCTTTACTGCATATGCTGCAGAGCTCAGCCTATTCAAAAGAGTCTCTATGTGTGGGCCCCATTGGAGTTTACTATCTATTGTTATGCCTAGAAAAACAGTTTTGTCAACAAAGTTTAGTTCACTGTCCTTAATTTTCAGGTTACCAATATCTCGCTTTACGCTAGTAGTTGTAAATCTAATACATTTTGTTTTATTCTCATTAAGCAATAAGTTATTTACATTAAACCAGTTAACTATACGAGAGATAGAATTGTTTACATCGTCCAATAATACGTTATTCCTATTCACTTTAAATAGCAGTGAAGTGTCATCAGCAAACAATACCATCTCATGAACTTCGTTGACAAAGAATGGGAGGTCATTTATGTAAATCAGAAATAAGAAAGGCCCGAGAATCGATCCTTGGGGGACGCCCATTGATACCTGCGAACCCGGAGAGGTGACTCCATTGACATGAACTCTTTGGATCCTTCCCTTTAAATATGAATTCATCAGGCTGGAAGCTTTGCCATCAACGCCATAGTGTTGAAGCTTTCCAACGAGTATATCAGGATGAACACAGTCAAAGGCCTTTGACAGGTCACAAAAGACGCCGACTCCATCATATGATTCTTCCCAGGCGTTAAATATGTCCGAAATCAACTTCACACCGGCATCGATTGTGGAGCGACCCTTAGTGAAACCATACTGTTTATTATGTAAGAGTTTATTTTTATTAAAATGTAAAGAAAGCTGGTCTAGCATTATCTTTTCAATAACTTTGCTCAACGCAGGGAGCACGGAAACAGGTCTGAAGTTTGACGGATCAGACTCACTACCGGCCTTGAACAACGGTGTAATCTTACTTAATTTCATTTCGTCCGGAAAGACTCCACAATCGATACATCTGTTAAAAATTATAGACAATTCAGAGCCTATTACATTAATAACGGAATTTAAAATGACTGTTGACATACCCCATATATCTTTACTTTTTTTTAAATTAATAAGCTTAAAAGTTTTAACGATATCATTACAAGTTATATGTTTAAACTGAAATTTAATATTACATTCAGGTACACATTTTTCTAGCAATGAGATCGCAGCAGCAGGTGAAGAATCTAGGGACTTGGTCGTATTTAGTGGTACATTTGTAAAGAACTCTTCAAAAGAAGAAGCTACCTCTGGGTCAGATTTTATTAACTTCCCTTTAACTTTTAACATATAATCAGTTCGTTTGTCAGACGTTTTACCTGATTCTTCATTTATTATTTTCCAGGTAGCTTTTACTTTATCCATGCTATTTTTTATTTTTGAACTTAAATATTGAGACTTTGCAGTTTTGCAATCTTTTTTGAAATTATTTGAATACAACCTAACATATTCCCTAAATTCCACACTAGTGTTATATTGCATTTCGTCATAGATTTCATATAATTTTAACCTTTTCCTGTGTAACTCCTCATTTGCCCAGTCACAGAAACTTGTTTTCTCAGAGACCAATAAAGTCTTTTGAGTAAATACTTTCTTGAATTCATCAATAAATGATCCAAAAAAAGTATTGTATAAATTATTAGGGGATGAGTTGCCACACAGAAATGGCATTCTATAGACCAATGCTTCTCTAAATCTGTCCAAACGGTCATTTGTAATAGGAGTTATCACAATTTTCTTCTTTTTACATGTTTTTTGTTTCCTTACTTGGAATTCAAACCATTGACCAGTGTGATCAGATTTAAATCTATTGAAAATACAAACATTCAAAGGGGCTATGTCACTATATATATTATCTATACAAGTTGCGGTGCTAGCTGTTATTCTTGTGGGTGAATGAAATTGATTTATTAAATTGTATGAACGAAAAAGACTAAGTATGCGTACACTTGAATTAGAATGACAAAGTAAATTGACATTAAAGTCCCCACACACAATTAGCCCTTTATTACACTTTACTAATTTACACAATATCTCCTCTAATACATTTTCAACATTATTATAGACAGCTGATGGAGGACAATATAGACATACAACAATGAATTGCTCCAGTTCCACACAGGAGATTTCAATAGTTAGTTCTACAGAGAGGCTGATAATATCCTTTCTTTCTTTGCATTTAAGTTTTTTACTTATTAGGATTAATGAGCCACCATTACCAATCATAGTTACCATAACATAAGTTTTAAACAAATAATTAAACAAATTAAAAATTCAAACCTGGACAATTATTCTGCCTTAGTTTTATTACTAGGTAACAGCATTGGTATTACCAAAAAGGACATAGTGGATGGTGTCAGCACCTTATTAAAATTAAACATAGGAAAGCTGATGTTATGTGCTTTTCCCTACTCTGATACTCTGTCAGAGGTTGAAAATAATCATATTTTTAAATTGAATAATACTATTCACATGTTGACATGTCGTCATAGTGACAAATTATTATATTTTGACACTAATAAGTTTATTAGTGGTTCTAAGTTAACTCAGAGAACTTTATCTCTGTCTTTTGAATGTAGACGGTTGATTGCTATGTTAATAGCATACAATATTAACAAGGTTATAGCTAATATAACAAATTCTAGGATTAGTGACGAGACTGTGTTGCCTAGTTACACTAACAACACAGTGATTGATAATATATCTTTATGTTGTACGAAGGAGGGTCCACCTATAATACCAACATACTTGGAGGCCAATACCAGTCAGATAGAGTATACTCTTCCTGCTGGAACACATACCTTAGGTTATTCTACAACTGTAGAGGTCACTCCGGATAGTACTTTAAACTAGGCTGTAAGACAACAGAAGTTAACCGTTTAAATAATCAATTATTATTTGTGGATAATAAAAAGGTATCTTCTGGCAATTTAACATGTTTTAATAAACCAAAAGGAAAGCAACATACTTTAAGATTATTTCATCAGAATATTCAAGGTTGCTCTTCCAAATTACTGGAAATAGAAATGTTTTTAGAAAAAACCAAGTTCGATATTATTTGTTTAACTGAACATTGGTTAGATGATCATCAGATAATGTCTATTAATTATGAAAATTATTGTGTAGTTAGCTATTTCAGCCGGAAGTGTATGATACACGGTGGATCATTAATATTAATCAAAAATTCTGTTAAATCTAAAGAAAGGAAAGACATTATCAGATTGTCAGTTGAACATTCTATAGAGTTGTCCTGTGTCGAGCTCGATAGGCATGTTGTAGTATGTGTTTACAGACCTCCGGGCTATCAGAATCTATCTGTATTTGATTCTGTAATGGAAGATGTGTTAAAAAACTTAGTACTAGTAGTAAATCAATCATCATAAGTGGTGATTTTAATATTAACTTATTAGAAACAAACTCAAATAGTATCAGATTAATAAGTCTTTTTAAATCATTTAATCTGTCTAATGTTTTTATGGAACCAACTAGAGTGACAGCTTCTTCTGCCACTTGTATAGATAATATTTTTTGTAATTGTGATTACTTACATAAAGAAATTGTTAATAAATTGCCTTCTGATCACAGTGGACAAACAATAACGTTTTGTGCCTACATACCTGTACAAAAAATTCAAATAAGGTATAGGCCAATTACATGTAAAAATTTAGAGAAATTAAATAATACCTTGACCAGTAAATTGTGTGTTCAAAACTTTAATAATATTTGGGACCCTAATGAGTTCTATGCGGAGTTTTTTACCTTGTTAAAATCGCAATTTAATGACATTGTTCCACAAAAGACAAAAAGTATTTACACCAAGTTCTTATTTAGTGATTGGGCGACTCCAGGTATTCGTAAGAGCAGGGATAAACTTTTTTGAACTATATGGCCTAAGGCAACATGTAAAAAATACAAACTTTCATCAGCATGTTGCGAAATATTCAAAAACTTTTAAAAGTGTGTGCAAAATTGCTAAATCACTGTATATTAGTAATAAAATAAAATCAGCGGATGACAAAATAAAAACTACCTGGCAAATAATAAATAATGAAACTGGTAGAAAAAAACAGCGTAATACTGAATTTAACTTAGAGACTGCACATGGCCCAATAAACTCAAATGCAGAAATAGCTCAGGAATTTGAAAACTTTTTTATCAATATTCCCTTTAAAACTACCGAAGCTTTAAGTTCATCATCCGCACTTTCTTTTGCGTTACTTACGAAGAATGTAAGGGCATGCCCTACGGAGTTTCGATTTCAATATACAAACCCCCAGGCTGTTATGAAAGCTTTTAAAGATCTTAAAATTAAATCTACAGAAGATCTTTGGGGATTGTCTGTAAAAGTCTGTAGTTCTATCATCGAAACTATTGCGCCTTATTTAGCTTTCATATTTAACACCAGCATAGACCAAGGAGTCTTTCCGGATCTCATGAAACACAGTAAAGTAGTTCCGTTGTTCAAATCCGGTGATAGTAAAGAACCCAATAATTATAGACCTGTGTCAATTCTGCCAGCTCTCAGTAAGGTTTTTGAAAAGTTAATGCTCAATCAAATGTTATGTCACTTTAATAAAAACTCCATCTTTCATGAACAACAGTACGGTTTCACCAAAGGGCGTTGTACAACTGACGCCGGTGTCTCCCTAATCAAGAACATTTTTAACGCTTGGGAGGAAGCACAAGATGCCATTGGAATCTTTTGCGACCTTTCGAAGGCGTTCGATTGCGTAAACCATGAGACTCTTCTGCTGAAACTTAATCACTACGGGATTAAGAACAAAGCTCTGGACTTACTAAGATCTTACTTGAAAAACAGACAGGTTAAAGTTCAGGTTAACGGCATAAACTCGTTAGGGTCTGAAATTACAATGGGCGTTCCTCAGGGTTCAATATTGGGTCCATTCCTCTTTTTAGTATACATAAATGATTTACCCCAATTAGTTCAGAATAAACCGAAGATGGTGTTATTTGCAGATGACACATCATTGATTTTTAAAGTAGATCGACGGTCACAAAATCGTGACGACGTGAATAACTCTATTCTTCGGGTCCAAAATTGGTTTACGGTAAACAATTTGGCACTGAATGATAAAAAAACTAAATGTATTAGATTTACGTTGCCAAATGTTAAAAGTAAGGAATGTGACATAATGTTGAATGAAGGAAAACTGGAATTTATTAATCAAACGGTTTTCCTAGGCATCACGCTAGACGAGAAGTTACAATGGGGACCTCATATCACATCTCTTGCGGGGCGGCTGAGCTCAGCCGTTTATGCGGTTAGAAAGATAAGATATTTAACCAATGTAGAAACTGCGCGTTTGGTCTATTTTAGCTACTTTCACAGCATAATGTCTTACGGCATTTTACTGTGGGGTCGGGCTGCTGACATAGAATCCATTTTTATTTTGCAAAAGAGAGCGGTCAGAGCCATTTATAATCTACGTCGTTGCGAATCTCTCAGGGAACTATTTAAAAAGATTAATATTATGACAGTACCTTGCCAATTCATTTATGAAAATATTATGTATGTAAGAAAGAATCTACATCTTTTTAGTAAAATAAATGAAAGACATAATTTTAGTACTAGAAATAAAGATAAAATAGCTCAACCATCTTTCAGATTAGCCAAAGTTCAAAATTCATTTATGGGGTACTGTGTGAAATGTTACAATAAAATACCTTGTGACATTTTAAAACTAAATGAACGAAAATTTAAATGTTTTATTAAAAGTACACTTTGTAAACAAGCATATTACAAATTAGATGATTATATTCAAGATAAGAATGCTTGGAAACATGCTGGTCCTGCTCCATAGGACAATCCTATGATTGGCTCTATAGCCTGGACAAAATCAAATTGGTTGCTGATTTTTTGCTAAAAAAAAATATGTTAATTTTTGTTATTATTATTATTATTATTTTTTTTTTAATTTATATAATGCTACAAATGTAATTATTTTTTTTGTATCTCACACACTGTTTTGTTGTGTTTTTTTAATATTTTTATTACTCTTTAATGTTAATATTCTAAGGTTTCGATATTTGTAAATATGTGAGGAACATGTATACTAACTTTTTTAGTATAGTAGTTTATTCTAAGAGTACATTGTCTTCACATATAATTATTTAACAAATGTAACAAAATATTGTAAACCTATTTTAAAAGAGTAAGTGTGGAGTTTCTTGCCCATTCTTCTCCACACGAAACTACCTTTTGGAAGGGGCAACTAGAATCATCTTTATATTTTTTTTTTTGACGTTCAAAAGTGCCATTTTAGATGGTCTAATTGAAATAAACGATTTGACTTTGACTTTGACCATGAATTGCATTTTCTCTGCAAAACACACTACCAACCCTGTGGTTACAAAAATTAAACAAAACTTCATATTTTTTTAACCAGTGCTCTGTTATGCACAAAAAGTCTATTTTTTGACTATTCAAGAATAGTTCAATTTCTAATTCTTTATTTTTCATCCCCTGTATATTTTGATGAACCACAATAATTTTTTGGGAATGAATTTTATCACATAATATACTTACCTTATTATTGCAAGAGTGGTGCTCTGTTGTCCTATTATCTAATTTAAATAAATATTATTTGGAATTTCTTCCAAGGTCTTATAATCTAATGCGTGCTCAATAGAAGCAAGGGGTCTAGCCAAATTCTTGGCTGTCATCTCTATAAAATATTGTTACGAGCTAGGGGATCGGATAGAAACGCCGTAAATCTCTTCAAGGGATTATTTTCAATTAAATCTACGAGGAATTTGTTAACACTATAAACTTGAAATTACGCACAAAAATTCACTAAATACACACACAAAATACTGTCACTAATTACTCTAATATCACGCACTTCACACAGTACTTGTATTCACTTTTCTTCACTATATTCGCACTTTGTCACTCCGGTGTTTATCGCTTGGTATCGCATTCAAAACTGAACTAATCGGTCGCGTTTCGGCTCGCTTATATATCCCTGGGAGCGATGTTCGAGAACTCTCTAGGCGGCGGCGCAACTGAGTAGCGATCGCACAATTCTAGAACGTGCGTACTAGCTATCCCTTTCGCACATTGCTCCGTCCTTATCGTACGGCGTTCTAGAGTGCTCGGTCTAGCTTCGAGAAGGTTCCGATCTTCCCTCTCTCTCGCGTATCATTCCGTCCTTGTCCCACACCTAGAAAATTCGTTCTAGAACATTCCTTCATCAAAGGGGTATAACCAGGCCTGAAAACGCCTGAAAACGGGTTTCCTGAAAAGTGTACCATTCGACTACACGTGTTCTGAAACGGCCTGAAAAAATGTTTCAGGCTCCTGAAAACTAGGGTGACATTATGTAAATTACGATTTTCTGATATGTGATTGACCCTCTCCTGAAACGGTCAGAAATCACATTTCAGCCTGCTGAAAACTTCTCTAACTAGTGGAAAAATCTAAAAACATTGCAGTCGACCCGTCTTCGTAACAATATGATAGCGAAACAGCTATCTGTCTTTTTAAGAAAGCAGGTAGGTAATAATATCTACCCTTTGTAATAAAAAACTTTTTCGTATACCTATTGGTATCTATGACACAAAATTTATCATTATACATTGCCAATGTATGCAATGTTTGATTAAGAATATATCTTGTGTCATTTTCTTCCTTAGGAAAGCTTTGGCTATAGGGAAATGTAAACATAACAATCCTCTTAGAGTCTAAACAACAAAGTTTTTCATATAATACTAAAAGATCATGTTTATTTACATTTCCCCTGTTCGCTATAAAAATTATTAAATTATTACATTTATCATTGTTTTTGATTATATGATTTTTCACAATGTTTTTAAAAGTGGCATTGGGATAGCAGCTGTTTATAAATGTTTGGCCGTCATTTAATTGTACAATAGTACCCATGTCCTTACCCATTTCATCGGAATACATTAAATTCCTTTCTTTTGCCTTAATTTTTTCCTTTAACTGAGTGTTTGTTGTGGTGTAGGTGAGGCTGTGAGTGTGTTGTGATGTCTGTGGTAATTGGAGGCTTTTATAATTGCAACCATAAGTTTTATTCTGTAATTGCTCATAACATTCTGCGGTGTAATTAGAAATTTGAAGCAGATCTTCCATTGCAGAAGAATATTTTTCTACCATACATTGTGATTCTTCAAATTTAGAAGTGAGACTGTTTGTAAGTTCTTGTAATTTTAAAATTTCTGTTTTTAAATCTAATGTGTCAGATTCATATTTTAATTTAGCATTTTCAGTTTCAATTAAATGCAAGTCAAGTTCATTTTGAAGTTGTGTGTTTTGAACTTTTAAATCCACACTGTTTACATTTCTATATTGTGTTTTTAGCTTCTGTGTCTTTTTAATGTATTTATTAATTTTAATATATTTTCTTATTTTGTTTTTACCTAAACTTTTTACATTATGAGTTGGTGTAGAACCTGAATCATGAATTAATGTATTATATAAAATGTTTGTGTGTGTATCTTTTACACTTTGTGATACTGCCTCCAGGTTATTAATATATTGTTGAGCCTCCAATAGCTGTTTTTCAAGACTTCTTATGCGCAGCAAAGCAACTTCATACTCATTACCATAACTATCAAGTTTATTTAATTCCTGCTGAAGCATAACACACTGATCTTTGAGTGAATTATTTTCTTGAAATAGCAAGGACATTTCATTTTTGAGCTTCCTGTTGCCTTCCAGCACACTTAAGAGTTCTTTTTCATTTTCTTCTCTTTCACTTGTTAACTGGGTACATAAATCCCTGCAAGACTGCAATTCAGTCAGTGCTAATTTAAGTTTAGACTCTTCTTGCAAAGCCAAGCCTCTGCGAGTCATCATATTGTATAATAGGGACTGTATGCAATGAACAAGCGAAAAAGGTATGTATATATAACTGTTATGTGTGAGTGGTGGTAGTTGTACTATTTATTACCTATAAATATATAATGAAACCTAAATACACACAAAATGGGCTTATTTTGTCAAGTAAATTATGTGGTATTAATTGTCTGGGCGAATGTTTTCGTCGTCGATTTTGCTTCCACTAGTTGTCAAGCAAAATGAGACATAAACCGTGCCAATGTGTGATGGACGTAGCTCCAAAAACTGAGCAGTATTTTATGATCTTATGTAGTCAGTAAATATAACTTAAATAGAACAAAATACTCCCCAGGTTTGACGATATTTTAAACTACGTTACCGTTAAGGCGTTGAGTTGACAGCCGGTTTTAGATCCCTGTTTTGCCAAGTTCTCGCGACAAAAAACACTGTATAATCACTTTATATTATACACAAATCTTATTTTTAACTATATTACCCTAATTTAACTAAATTTAAACCCTTAAAATTATTATTTTTTAAAATTAAATGTAGAGGTTGTTTTCTTATGGGGCATCCACACGCTGGCTGTTTGTCACAAACACCGCAAAAAGCAAACGAAGTCCCAAACACCAACCACAATCACCCAACACAAACAGCCATCCACATGCTTGGCGAACGTTCATAACATTCCGAATCGGCAAACATGGCGGACGACGAGCTTGTTGCAGCTATTACTTTCGGGTTGACATATTTTTATTATAAATTAAAGCAAGAGAAAGAAAAAAGGAAAAAAATAAGAAAGCAAAGACGATGGTGGATGATTAAAATACATAGAAAGCGTACAAGGCTTTAGACCTATTATTTGAGCTTTACTTTGCCGTGTTTTTTTTTAAATTTACTTAAAAGTTACTTAAAAATGTCAGAATCGTAGGTGCTCCAATCAGACATTTTTTACGCTTTGCGCGCCAACGAAAGTGTAGCAAGTAAATACGTCCGCCTCCCGCAAGCTCGCGCGCATACTGATCGCTGCCAAACGTGTGGATACGTAGCAAACTGTTTGCCAAACATCCTTTGATCTGGCAAGATAAACCGACACCGATGCCGAACACTGCCCAACACGAACACAAACAGGCAAACAACGACAAACACCCATCCACACGTCCGTGTTTGCTGTTTGCTGTTAGCTGTTTGCCATTGTTTGTCAAGCGTGTGGATGGGCTTTTACAACCTACCACCAGAGTTGCCAGATCGGAAAAAATGTTTGTACATGATTCAGCGGTTGTACAGATTTTAAGACTAAAATTATCTGTTGCGGGTGACCAGCATAGTCCTAGTACCTTATGCGAATCAGAGTCATCAAACTCCTTTACAGCAGAGAGACGATGCGACGGCGTAATAGAATCCAAGACTCTTTGTGAATTGCTTGTCCATTTAACAAGATCAAATTGTCCGGCTTTCATCAAAGCGATTACTTCCGCAGCGGTGGAAATAGCCTCATATTCATTGTCAATGCTGTAGACAAAATCATCCATATACAAACCAGTGTTGACTGTTTGCTGTGCTCGCGGATAAGAAGCACATTCATTCAAAACTAGTTGCTTTATGGTACGAAGAGCGTGAAACGGGCTAGACTTCAGTCCGAAAAAAACGCGGTTAAATTCATAAACCTTCAAGGGTTCTTGCGACGAAAAGCGATACAGAATGCGTTGGAACCTTCGGTCACATGGCCGAACTCCAATGGAAAGAAACATTTGACGAATGTCAGCGGAGAGAGCGATACGAAATAAGCGAAAATTAACAATAATATGAAATAAGTTTCCTTGCAGATTTTGCCCATTATATAAAATGTCATTAAGCGATATTTGGGAACTGAACTTTGAACTACAGTCCAGGACGATGCGTAATTTAGAAGTAAGTTTATCTTCTCTTATTATACCATGGTGAGGTATTGTATATGAGGGTAAATTCCGAGTTTCTTCAGTGTCTAGAGGAGCGGGAGAAATATAACCCTTATTTAAATATTCACTAATCACGTTATCATACGCCTCCTTTAATTTAGGTGATGCCTGCATTTTACGTTCTAAACAAAGAAAGCGATTTTTAGATTTCTTAAACGAATCACCTAATGAAAATCATTGGGTGAATTCAAGAATTAACATCCCCTTTAAATGGAAGCGCGACCATGTATCGACCATCCGTATCACGGATAGTCGTGCTGCTATAGATATCTTCACACGCCTTATCATCTGGACTCAATAGTTGCGGGGCGCTTACTTCTTCTATCTGCCAGAATTTACGTACAGCAGCGTCAAGCGGGTCTGTAGCAATATGAGACAGACGCGAGATCATCAACTAGAGCAGGAGCAGAGCCGACAATAACATAACCTAACACAGTTTCTAAAGCGAGCGGTGAGAGACAATCAGACTGACCTTGAACTTTACGAGATAAGAGAAGGTGAGGAAAGATTGATGCTCCAATCAACAAATCAATATCTCCAGGGGCAGCGTAGGTATCGTCAGCTAAAGGTAAATTATTAAAATTGATCAACGACGAAATGTCCACAGACACAGTGGGCAAGCGCTCCGTGACATTGTCGACTACGAGCGAGTCCATGCTAAAACACACACTGAGATCAAAGCGGGAAAAGAATTTCACCGAAACCGAACTTAGAATTGGCTTAGTAGTGCCTCCAATCCCTTTAACCACTGAACATGAGGGTTTCTGGTTTGTCTCTAAACCCAACCGCTGGCATAAGCTGCGACTGGCGAAATTACTTTGCGAGGCACTGTCCAATAAAGCGCGCACGTTGTGTTCCCTACCTTGCGTATCGAAAACAACAACGCGTGCGGTAGCGAGTAACACCGTAGTAGGTGTGCGGGAAGCATTACAATTAGATAAGGAACACAATGTGACGTCATGGGGTTGCGTGGGTATCACCGAAGTTCGCCCTTTATTAGCGGTACTACCGTCAACCGAAGTGCTGGCAGTGGCAAGGCGCACAGTGGAAGCGGCATTGCGCAGCGTGGCAGCAGGTAAAGTGCGTGAAGTACTGTCGCCAGACGTGGTGCCCGTGGCTGCGGCGCTGTTATTGTTATCAAAGTGTAGCATGGTGTGATGTAAATTATTACACCGGCGGAAGCGTGAAGAAGAGTTACAGGCAGTTAATCGGTGCTTCCCTAAGCAGTTCACGCACAGATTATTCGCCTTAACAAATTTAAAACGATCGTTAGCGGTCATGTTATGAAAAGTTGAGCATGTATACAAATGTTCGTGTCGCGTATTACATAGGGAACACACCGGCTGCGTAGGTGCAGTCGCCGTATTTAGGTATGTATGCGTTGGTTTTGAAATTTTGCTTGTCGTATCATATTTACGTTCCAAGGTTTTCTTAGCATCATATTTACCTGAAGTGCGTTGTAATATTTTTAGGTGTTCGCGAATAAAACTTATAAACTCGTTACATGTAGGTATATCGGAACTGCGTTTATACAATTCGAATAAACGAACTGTTTCAGTATCTAACTTCTTTAAAGCAATATACATAAATATGAAATCGGCTAGGTTATCTAGCTTTAAATGCTCAAGAGCGGCAACTGACGAAGAAAAAGTATCTAAAAATTGCTCAAGGTTATTTGCGTTTGCGATAGACATCGCCTTAATATCGTAAATTTGATCTAAATACGAAGTTGCGAGATATCGCTTGTCTTCAAATTTATCAACAAGTGTTTTATAAATTATTTCATAATTTTCGGCGCAAGGTGTAAACCCGGCGCAAGCCGATTTTGCTTTGCCTGTAAGTTTTCCTAATAGATAATAAATCTTTTCAGCGTCCGTAAGTGATTCATTTTCATGTATGGTGGTCTTAAAGTTATTATAGAATAAAGGCCAAGACTTAATATCCCCGTCAAAAGATACCAACTCGATAGGAGGCAAATAGGACTTAAGTCTCCGCGGCGTATCCTTATCAGTTTTATTAGCACTACAGCTGTACAGTGAAACTAAGCGCTTGACGCGGCTGTAAAGCCGCTCGAATGCAATTAAACTTTTAAATTCCGAAGTCGCCTTAGGATTTAAAGATAACAAGCGATTATTATAGTCATCTAAGATTTTAATAAAGTCTGAGCGTAACGTTTCAATATTACTACTCGCGTCGAGAAAGTTTTCCCTCATTAAAGGGTCACAATCCGCATCTTTAGATAGGTCAAATACCTCTTGTAAACAAATGAATATTGTATTCCGTTTTTGTTCTAATAATACGAGTTGTATATCTACAGCTAGATCTGTAGATTCCAAAAGCTTATCACTCTTCGGCATTTTGAATTTAAAATAGCGGTAAAATTATAGTTATTCAATATAATAGAATAGAAAAGCAATTAAGAATAATTAGGTATAAAGTTTACTGAAGTGCAAATATGTTGCAGTGACCGACAAACTATGCCAAGGTCACGCGTACGTTTAACAAAGCGATGCAAGTAATGATCGAAATGTTATAAGCATAACATTAAAATTGCTTAGCTAAATTATTATACTAAGCGAAAATAAGCGGAGCGTAGGTAAAACTATAAGCTAAGAAATATATCCCGGCTCGTTTGGACCAACTTTTAATGGCGGCGCGGGTGGTTAATATATAAAACTTTATACCTATTAGCTATATTTTTGAAGTGGTTATATAGTGGACTGTATTTTTTTTCTTATTGATACCTAATATGATTGCTCAATAATGGACAATGGGAAAAAGAAAGAAAGGATGTCGGCACAGTACCTTAAACCTCGTGGCTTCTTCTAGTGGCTTCTTTCCTTTGTTGTACACCAATGAACAATCACTTTCACAAATTATACTTAATCAAGTTAAAGTTAATTGAATTTAAGTATAGTTAAAGTTTATAATAAAAATTAAATGTTTAAAAGAAAAAGGAAGCGTTGCGAGCGTGCGGCGAATAATCAACCATATCGCGGGTCATCAAAATTGTCACTAATTAATTCTTATTAGAGACTCATCGTCGTGCGCGCCACCTATAGCCCGTTCCGGAACTAGTACCGTCATAGGATTGGGACATAAAATAGGTGGGTGATGAGACATGCGTCTAGGAACTAGTATGTCCGACCCCAGTAATTTTAGACCAATTTCCGTACTACCTACTTGTAGTAAAATATTTGAAAAAATTATATTAAATCAACTGGTAAGTCATTTTAACGTAAACAAATTATTACATAATAATCAGTTCGGTTTTACCAAGGGTCGCTCGACAACCGATGCCGGTGTTGAGTTATATAGATATATAGTTAAGGCTTGGGAGGAGTCGCATGACGCTTTAGGTGTTTTCTGCGACAAAACTTCAGTGGTCCCCTCATATTAACGGATTGGCGAAGAGACTTAGTTCTGCAGCCTACGCGGTTAAAAAAATTCGCTCACTAACTGATGTCGATACAGCTAGACTTGTTTATTTTAGTTACTTTCATAGCTTAATGACTTATGGCTTATTATTATGGGGTCATGCTGCTGATGTCGAAACTATTTTCATCCTGCAGAAGAGGGCTATTCGTGCAATCTATAATTTAAAATGTAGGGAATCTCTTAGAGATAAATTCAAGGAAATTAATATACTTACCTTTCCCTCGCAATATATCTATGAAAATATTATGTATGTATACAAAAATAGTGATAAGTTTACTAGAATAGAACATACGCACAATGTTAATACACGGAACAAACGCAGGCTGCAATTTCCCCGTACTAGACTATCTAAAGTTAGTAATTCTTTTTTGGGGAAAGGGATAGTCTTCTTTAATAAAATCCCAGAGGCTCTTTTATCACTGCCTTTCAATAAATTTAAGAAATGTATTAAAGAAAAGCTGTGTAAAAAGGCTTACTATAAAGTCAACCATTATCTAGTTGATAAAAGGGCCTGGGACTAGTGCTAGACAGGCTACTTCTAATTAATTTGCGATATTTGTTTTAAATAAGTGTTGTTTGATGATTTGCTGTTTTAAAAGAGTACCGAGAGTTTTTTACGCCGGCTTTTTCTCTCGGCCTACACCCTCTGTCTTCTTTGCCGATGAGTAGGGATGCCTTCAAATTGAATGACGTGGAATAAGTGATACATGTATCTTATGTTCCATAATAAACATATTTTATTTTATTTTATTTATTTTAGAACTATTAGGATGGGTATATGTATTGAGCAACCATTATTTAAAAATTAAAAATTATTATACAATAAGAATCCGGCGCAACCACATACCTAACCTGACAACAAACCTATTATCATTAAGCCAGCTAATAGCAAAAGGAAACAAAGTTATTTTCAAAAGTGATGTGTGTTATATACATAATCAACGGAATGAGCTTATTGTAATAGCAAATTTAAAGAATGGTGTGTATAAGTTGAATACAGTAAAGTCAGAGAAAGTGTTGGCCGCATCAGTTCAAATTACAGATACAAAACAGTGGCATAGGAGATTAGGTCATGTTAACAGTAATGATTTGCAGAGATGAAAAATGGTGCTGTAAATGGCATATCATGTGATATGAAGGCTGATATTCAGAAAATAAATTACCAGGTATGTTGTGAAGGGAAACAGAGTCGTTTACCATTCCAATTAAGAAACCATAGAAGTACACAATTGCTAGATTTTGTTCACTCAGATCTGTGTGGGCCTATGGAGGTTCGATCGATTGGACAGGCAAGATATTTTCTATTGTTTGTTGATGATGCTAGCAAGATGGCATTTGTATATTTTCTAAAGGAGAAGAATCAGACTCTACAGTATTTCAAGGAATTCCAAAGAATGGTTGAGAAGCAAAAAGGAACAGGAATAAAAACATTGAGAACTGACAATGGAGGGGAGTGTTGCTCAGATATGATGGAAAATTATCTGAAAGATAGTGGAATCATCCATCAGAAGACAAACCCATATACTCCGGAGCAGAATGGTGTAAGCGAGAGATTCAACAGGACAATTGTTGAACGTGCAAGATGCTTATTGTTCGAGGCCAAACTGGATAAAAGCTTTTGGGCAGAAGCAGTCAACACGGCAGTATACTTGAAAAATAGATCGCCAGCTTCAGGTTTGGACCAAAAGACACCGATTGAAGTATGGACAGGACATAAACCTGACCTCAGTCATGTCAGAATATTTGGGAGCCCGGTAATGACGCATGTTCCTAAAAATAAAAGATTGAAGTGGGACAAGAAAGCAGTTAAATACATATTAGTGGGATACTCGAAAAATGTGAAAGGTTACCGATTTACCAACCCAGAAACTAGAAAGAAATGTACCAATAGAGATTTCATTATAATGAAGGAAGATACTACTGAGATAGAAATAAACAAAGGACAGATAAAAGAACAGAAATCAGTAGAAGAGGAAAGTTCTATGATAGAAAGTGACAATACATTGTCAAATCAGGATGATCCTACGTTTGCATTTTTGAATGGTTTTTTAATAGAAAATGTATACATGCAAGCACCTGCTAATTTAAATTGTCCAAGTAATTGTGTTCTTAAACTTAAAAGGCAGTTTATGGTTTAAAACAGTCTGCTAGGGTATGGAATGCTAGAATAAACGATTTTTTGATAGATTTGGATTATAAAAAGTTGGTATCAGAACCATGTTTATACAGTAAAAAATGTAAAAATGAGCAGATTATCATTGCAATATTTGTTGATGATTTCTTTATTTTTACTAATAGTAAGACTTTGACTAATGATATTAAGAAAAAACTTATCTTAAAATTTAAAAATTAAAGATTTAGGACAAATTAAAAGGTGTTTAGGCATGACAGTGAAATGTGAAAATAACTGTATATCTATTAATCAGGAACACTTTGTAAAACAAATTCTTAAAAAGTTTTATATGACTGATTGTAATACTAAAGATACTCCAATGGAATGTAATATGAAATTAGAAAAGGCAGAATGTGTTGACAAACAGTTTTCCTATCCACAGCTTATAGCGAATTTTATGTATTTGTCAGTATTAACACGTCCAGATTTATCATATAGTGTGAGCTTCTTTAGCCAGTTTAATAATTGTTTTAGTTCAGTTCATTGGCATCATGTAAAAAGAATTTTAAAATATTTGCAAAAAAAACTAAATCTTATGGTTTGAAGTTTACTAAAGATACCTGTAATTTAGAAGGTTTCGTATATGCTGATTGGGCGTCAAATATTGTAGATAGGAAATCCCACACAGGATTTTGTTTTTAAATAATTGTCAGGCTGTGTGATATCCTATGAATGTAGGAAGCAACAAACGGTAGCTTTGTCAAGTACCGGGGCCGAATACATGGCCATTGCTGAATCATGTAAAGAGGCAATATATTTAAAAAGTCTTATGTCAGATATTATTGGTTGTAACTATACTGTAGTAATTTACAATGACAACCAGAGAGCCAAGAAGTTGACAGAGAATCCTTTGTTTCACAAACGAAATAAACATATAGATGTTCGCTACCACTTCATACGCGAAGCAGTCTCTAATAGCCTTGTAAAAATTGAATATCTTTCAACATCTGCTGATATATTAACAAAAAGTTTGAGTGGTGCCAGACACAACTATTTTATAAAATTATTAGGAATTCAAAATGTTTAAAATTGTCAAAGTTAGTGTTGTTAGTTTTATTATTACTTAGTATTTGATTGTTTTGATAAGTGGTGCTGTTAAATTTTTTTTACAATATCAAAAAAGTCTACTTCATACTAATCTGTGTACTACATCTAGTCTGTGTACTATGTCACTACATAGTATAAAACAAAGTCGCTTTCTCTGTCCCTATGTCCCTTTGTATGCTTAAATCTTTGAAACTACATAACGGATTTTGATGCGGTTTTTTTTAATAGATAAAATGATTTAAGAGGAAGGTTTATATGTATAAAAACATCCATTAAATGTTGGAGAAGTACTGTTATTTTTGAGTTTTCTAATGTGATGTCGTAAATAATTACATTTTTTAATGTTTAAAGAACTTTATTTCTCATTACAAAAATTATTTTTTTTATTTACATGAGAAATTTAATATTAAGTATATATACGAACGAGATACACGTCGCCATCAGTTAGCCCAATTCTAGTCTAATGGGCCCATTCTGATGTGTGTCTTTAATGCCCTTTTGAACTGATCAATCACGCTAATGTTACGAAGCTTAGACGGCAACCGATTAAACAATTGCACACCCTCATACCTAATAGATCTCTTTAAATAATTTGTGCGCGGCTTTGGCAAGATAAGCAAACTCGCTCGACGAGTATTGCGTGTAGTGGTGTATTTGATTTTATTAAATGATAAGTTACTATGTAGAGAGTTATTTAAAATTTTTTTAATAAGGATACAGGTGCTATAAACATATAGTTGTTTAATCGTCATAATTTTAGTTTCTTGGTAGATTTTATTAGTAGGTGTTAAAAAATTGTATCTGAATAGTGCTTTTATTAATTTATTTTGTAGTGTTTGTATTGTAGAAATTTTGTTTTTGCATGCTGTACCCCATATTTCAATTAGGTATATGAAATGTGGCTTGACTAAACAATTATAGATCAAATGACGTACAGATTGCGGAATGCATTTAGATATTGACCAAAATCTGCCTATAAGTGATTTTAGTTTGGTAATTATGTGTGATATATGAAAGTTCCATTTTAAATTTGTATCCATTCTAAGACCCAGATATTTCTCCCATTTTTTGTTATTGATTTCAACGTCTTGAACTTTAAGCGGTTGAAAGATAGGAATGAGTTTATTTGTTGCCTTGAATATTACATAAGATGTTTTTGAAATATTAATTGTTAGTAGATTTTGTTGAAACCAAGAAGATAGAACATTTAGGTCTGATTGAGCTTGAGCAACCATAGTCTGGATATTTGAACCAAAGTAAAATAAGCAGGTGTCATCAGCGTAGAGAGTGATTCGGCCGTGTAAACCGAGTTCGTGAATGTTGTTAATAAGTATATATTAAAAATAACAATGGACCTAATATAGATCCTTGTGGGACGCCGCATGTTATTGGTATTTCTGAACTTTGAGCATTACCTATTTTTACTATCTGGGTTCTGTTTGATAGATATGACTTGAATAATTTTAGTGCACGATCTTTTATTCCTATGCATTCTAATTTTTTAAGCAATAAGTTGTGGCTTACGGTGTCAAACGCTTTTTTCAGATCAATAAAGACACCCAGCACCATTTTCTTAGAGTCAATATTTTGTTTTATGTCGCTAACGAGATCGGCTGTGGCTGATAAAGTGCTGCTTTTTGATCTAAAACCATATTGGCGTTTAAAAATGAAATTGTTAGTTTGCAAGTAAGTGTCAAGTCGTGAGTAAATAATCTTTTCTAATATTTTTGATATTGTAGGTAGAATAGATATTGGTCTGTAATTGCCGGGTTCGGTTTTGGGGCCAGATTTATGGATAGGAGCAACTCTGGCCTTTTTAAGAGAATCCGGAAATTCACCATTATGCAGCAGCTTATTAAAGCAGATCGAGAGATATTCAGAAATATGATCAACTACGCATTTTATTGTTTTAGTATTGATCCCATCTATTCCACTACTACAATTCGTGTTTAGTGTTTTTATTATATTAGTGATTTCAAGTGTTGTGCATGGATTAAAGTTAGATAGTTCAGAGTTAAGACTTTGAGGAAGTGCTAGTGTAAAATTAATGTGAAATTGTGTTGGTATTTCATTGGCTAGTTTTAGCCCTATGGTAGAAAAGTATGTATTAAAAGCAGCACAAATATCGGTTGTTTGAGTTAACTCTTTAGTGTCTATAATAAGTTTGGAAGGTGTGCAATCTTTATTTAGCTTGTTACTAGCCAATTTATTTATTAGACTCCACATTTTTTTAGGGTTTTTAGCGTGTTTAATAAATTCGTTGGAGAAGTAATTATCTTAAGTTTCCCTTATTTTCCTTTTGACCGTATCTCTTGTAGTAGTATATTGTGCTTGAACAACTATATTTGTAGGATCTTTTTTCAGTTCAGCCCATAATTGGTTTCTAAAGTGAATTGCACTAATGACTTCTCCACTTATCCAATCTTTCTGAGGTGGATTAAGTATCTTTTTCTTTACTTGTTTGCATTTCCTTACACAGTCCTTAATCGTATCTTCTAGTAAAGAATAATCAAGTGTTGCTACATCTAAATTGTAGGTCGTGAATAGTTTGTTAAATTTAGCATAGTCAATGGCTTCATATTCAGAGTATATTAACTGCGGGGCTTTGGATTTTTTTAACTCGATATAAAGTTGCCTATGGTCGGACATTCCTGTCTCAATAAATGCCATATGAAAACGGTCACTTCTTAAATTTGAGCACACGTGGTCGATTATTGATTTACGTGTTTTCGAGTCACGTGTACAATATTTTTTCCTAATTTTATTTATGATGTTTTTCCGCTTACATTGCAAACGCAGCCTGAACCCTACGAGTTTTATCAAAATAATGTACTAAGTATTGTACACATTGAAAAGGTCTACAGAAAAGTCCGTGATGGTATATGTCTATCTCTTATGGATAACCCACAATAACTTTTTTTGTCATTTACTTTTTACGACAAATAATGGCTAATTTTCGAAGCAATTTTAACCAATACAGCATTAATCCTTAACCAATTTACCTTGAATACATTGTTCATTTAATATAGATCTATATGGCATTTTACACCGTATGATTTAAGTGAATATTTTTGAAGATATTACAGATTTAAAAATTGCGGGACGTAGCGTTTGCGGCCGCGGTTTTCCCTTTAGCACTTTGAATTTAGCAGCGATCGGACGCGTTTATTATAAAAACGTGCTTTTCAGCGCGACAACGTATCAGTAATTATAAGTAAGTTACGATAAATAATTGTATGATAGTAGTTTAAAACTCAGACAGCTTCGGGATAGATATAGAGCTGAGAGAGAGAGAGAATCTTTAGTAAAGCGTGAGGTTCACCGCAGCCGAGATAGGGAAAGACATCGAATAGAGAGCCAGAGAATCATCAGCACGAGTTACTAATTCATGGGTGAATAAAGAAAATTCTGCCATGAATTACGATCCTTCGATTTCTTACAAGGACGATCGTATAGTATCAATAGGTACTATGTCAGTAGTGTGTGAACATTGCTTGGCATTGAAATTCAAGGACGAATCGAAAGGCATGTGTTGCTTACAAGGAAAAGTCAAATTAGAAGAAGTTCTCCTTCCACCTGAACCACTTCACTCTCTTCTTACGGGTGATCATCAGAAATCCAAGCAATTCATGCGCAATATACGCCGTTATAATAACGCATTTCAAATGACCTCTTTTAAGAGTAAGCAAGTCGTTGAGCGTGGGTTCATGCCTACATTTAAAATTCAAGGGCAAGTGTACCACTTAGCTGGGAGCTTGCTACCACTTCGACCCGATGATCACAAATTTCTGCAAATATATTTTATTACAGATCCAGATACACAAGCATCTACGCGGTGTACAAGTGTTGCACAGCCAATTGATAGAGATTTGATTAGATCTCTCCAAGATATGTTACATTCTCATAATTGCTACATACAGTCTTTCAAAACTGCGATTGAGAGTGTTCCAGCAGATAATCCTGACTTTAATGTCGTAATCCATGCAAATAAAGTTCCTGTTGGAGAACACAGAGGACGATACAATGCGCGAGTGAAGTAGCAGTGGTGATAGCTGGACAGCAATTTGACAAAAGAGATATTGTATTGCATAGTCGTGATGATAATTTGAAAAAAATTTCAGAGTTACACAGATCTTATGACAGCTTACAATATCCTTTGATGCTATGTCGTGGAGAAAATGGTTATGCCATTAATATTTCTCAAGTTAACCCAATCGGTGGTACACCTCTGCGTAAAACAGTGTCATGTATGAACTACTATTGCTACCGTATAATGACAAGACGTAACAATTTCAATATTTTGCTTAGATATGGAATGTTAACAAACCAATAGGTACTTGGTAGATCAATATGCGAAAATTGAATCTGAGAGATTGGCCTACATCCGTAATAATCAAACTAAATTGAGAACTGAAAATTACGTTCATCTTCGGGATGCTTTACAGGCGAATGAACACCGCAACGGCATTGGGCAGTTGGTTATACTACCTTCATCATTCACAGATGGACCTCGATATTTACACGAAAAATCGCAAGACGCCATGACAACGTTCACAGTTTTTCTGTAGTGTATTTAGTATCAGCATTGCATCCGTGCGAAGCCGGGGCGGGTCGCTAGTATACTAATAAGGTGTCTATTCTCAACCTTGAACCCGCAACTCATTGGTGTTTTATTAGATACCACAAAGTAGGTACCACAAAGAACGGTTCGGTGGCCGTCGATGCACAATTCATACCAAAATAATTAGTCCCGAGTACATACCTCGTTATAATGTCTCCTTGCCAGTGCGTTTCTTAAACACGCACTAAACACTAACTATAAAATTCTAAATAGTGGACGTTACTATTATTAATTATAATTAACAAAAAGTATATATAAAATTACATCTAACGTAACTCGAGTAAATCTCAACAAAGACTAATAAAAACATATGAGGATCGGCTGAGTAAAAATATTTGGGATCACCCTCATAAAATATTACAAAATTATGTATTTCGAACTCTAGTATAGGATTAATTTTCTTTCATTTATGTTGTTAGGTAGGTATGAAGGACTTCCGCCGAGAGGTTATAGTCGGTAAAAGCTTTAGAAAACCTAAAACATAGCACAGTCCCACACTTCCTACGTAATAGCAGTCTTCCGTTAATAAAAATACAGAACTTCATAATCGTAAGCTAGTTTTCATAACAAATGTAACTAATGTACCTTCAAAGGTGTAATAAAAAAAAAGAGTACCCACATCTTTAGGTTACAAAATGGAGAAAAAAAAAATCGCATAACTCGTGGGCGGTAATCCTTTACACCAAGGATATGATATAGCATATCAGTTTACCTTGATGGCATCCCGCTCTTCTGATTTGTTAGGGCTAGTTGATCTATGTAGTTCTTAGGATAGGAAATTAAACACTCCAATGATGACTTGATTCACTATAATTCACACATTGATTTTATGTAAACTGTATAACTTCAAACTTGAATAAGGGAATTGCCTGTGCGCATGTGTTACAACCTCTTTTATCATCTAGTCCCCACTCCGACTCGACCTTCCCACTTCGGGCAGTTATTCGAGTCAATTCGAGTCAATTCGTAAAAAAAACTTTAGAGGTGTCAAGGGACACCCGGATGGAACGAAATTCCTTTCGATTAATTTATATGTTAATTGGTATCATAACAATATGATAGATTTTCTCGACACCAATCTTACGACGAAAAAAAAAAGCCAACATCACGAGGTGTTCCCAGGCGGTCACCCATCCAAGTACTGACCTCGCCCGACGTTGCTTAACTTCGGTGATCGTTCGAGAACCGGTGTATTCAACGTGGTATGGACGTTGGCGATAGCTAAATCGAAAATGTAAAATATAACATTTATAGCAAAAAGTTTCGTTACAACTTTTGGTCTTAATTTATTCCGTCTAGCCCCCTTTCGCAACGCTCGATAACTTCTTCCAACAAGACTAATTTAGTTAAGTGATTCCAAAAAAAATTTTCATTTCTTATCCCTACAAAAAAAAGCCAACATCACGAGGTGTTCTCAGGCGGTCACCCATCCAAGTACTAACCTCGCCCGACGTTGCTTAACTTCGGTGATCGGACGAGAACCGGTGTATTACAATAGCAAATAGCAAAAAAGTGTCGTGACAACTATTCGTAAGAATTTTTTCCGTCTAGCCCCCTTTCACAACGCGCGATAAGGAACTTCGTTCCAATAACCGAATGAGTCAAATGAGTAATTATTGCACATGCGCACTTGTAGCAAAAGGATATGCTTCATAAAAATGTTTAGAATTTAATTTAATAAATATTAAAAGCTAACACATTGAATATTTCACCAACAAAATGGTGCTGATCGACCGGCTGGAGACCAGTTTGGGTGAGTCTAATAAAATTTTGCTCGTGCTCGCCGGCATCACGGATGTTAAGGTACGCACAGATTTACTTAAAAATACTCCGACGAGTTTTGTGTCACATTTAAATACGTATCCTAACATTAAAACCTTAAGAAAAATTCAGATGTGAGGTCCGTGGTGAATATAATGCTTCTAAAATATGCGAGTTAACTACAGGTCGTTGCTATTTTTTTTTTGACAAGGTAGGTCATTTAAAACGACACTGTTTATTTTTACGTATAAAAATAAAAATGAGGGTACCCACCCTCGCACGTCTGTTGATAAATTTAGTGAACAGCCAATAGTTATTAGAACACGATGTTGTTATTGCCACAAACTTGGACATTCTGATTTTATTTGTTTTAGACATAG